GACAGGGTTTCTCTGTGGCTTTGGAGGTTGTCCTGGAACTCCCTCTGTAGACCAGGCTGACCTCCAACTCACAGAGATCCGCCTGCCTCTGCCTCTGCCTCCAGAGTGCTGGGATTAAAGGCGTGTACCACCATGCCTGGCCCACCCTGCCCAAATCTAGACTACTAATTTTTGAAACATGCCTCACCATGTAGACCAAGCTGGCCTTGAGTTCAGAGAGACGTGCTTGCCTCTGTTGGGGCTGAATGTGTATGCCACCTGCTCAGCCCTGACTTTTTTTTTTTAATGTGGAAGAACACTTAACATGATATTATCTTCTTAATCTTTTAGCCTTGAGTATGATATTGTAGACTCTGAAGAAGTGTGCTTGATGTCGTCAGAATTTCTGACCTGATGTCTGTCCCCTGTCCCCTGTCCCCCCAGGCCATTGCTCCTCTGCCTGTAACACTTTCTGGGTCAGGCATTTGCTTCCTTTCACTTTGTGAGGTTGTTTAGCCTGTGGAGGAGAGAGCCTCTCTCTGATGAGCTGCAGTGGTGTGAGCTTCAGTGGAATAAGATACTTGCCGACAGAGTTAAACTGTTAGTCATCAGGCAAATGAAACCTGTGTGCCCAGTGTTGTTTTTGTTTTTGCCTATTTTTTTGTGTAACACCCCCCCCCCCCCCCTGTGCACAAGTCTCCGCCTTCTTCCTCTTAAGGCTCTGGCGGGTTTGATTTGTAAGAACAAAAAACCCAGGGATGTCCAGTCTGTCATCAGACTGATGAGCAAACCCAGAGCCCCTAAGAACTCCTGAGAGGTAGAAATACAATTTTCTTTCTTAAACTCTATTCCCTTTTGCTTTATTTGACAGAAGTGGCTTGTTTCCTGGGATGCCTTTTCAAAGTCCATCTTTTTAACAGGTTGGTGCCTGACTTGTTAAGTGGTTTTGGTTTGTGATTGAGTGGCTGTGGTGATTCTGTGAGGTTGTTTAAAATCAACTGGTCTGAAACCTTGGGCTACTTCCTTGACTGTTCACCTGTTGTGAGCAAGTGCTGAGATTTAATAGTGGCTCAAAGAAAAGGATTTATTCTGCTTTTCATCATTTGTGCGGGTATGTGCATACAAATGCAGGCACCCTCAGACGATACTTTGCAACTGGAGCTGCAGGAATTGTGAGCTATTGGTGTGGGTACTTGGAACCAAGGTCTTCTAGAATAGCATCAAGTGCTGTTAACCACTAAGCCATCTCATTTCCTTCTTTATTTTTAAAAGGTTTTTATTTTTTTCATGGCAGGGTTTCTCTGTGTAGTCCTGGCTGTCCTGGAATTCACGTTGTAGACCAGGCTGGCCCAGAACTCACAGAGATCCACCTGTCTCTGCTTCCCACGTGCTGGGATTAAAGGCTGTACCACCACCGTCTGGCTAAAGATTCTTTGTGTTTCTGTGTGAGTGTATGTCTCATGTGTGGCAGTGCCTGTGGAGGCCAGAAGACAGTATCCCCTGCCCTTGAAGCTGTAGTCACAGTGTAGTTAGCCACTGGGTGTGAGTGTGGGGAATTCAGATCCTGGAAGGGAAAAATTAGGGTTTTCTTTTGCTTTGAAGTTTCCAGCTAGTTCCAGTTGCTTTCACTTTCACAGCCTACTGTCAGAGGCAAAGCCCATGTGCTGTATTTGCCTCTGCTGAAAGCATTTTAAGAAGAAAGATCGGAAGGGAGGTATCAGATTGAAATAGCAGGGAAAACAGCCAAATATTAAGACTCCATATATGATGGAAAGAGTTAACCAGAACGGATCAGAAGAGCACTTCAAAGAAAATGTTCATTGGGTTGGTGAAGAGTAGCTCTGTGTAAGAGCAGAAAGAACTCTGGTTTAGATGGGATATCTGTATTCAGGAGCCTAGCCTAAAGCCAAGCATGGTGGTTCATGCTTGTAACCTCCGCAGCTGGGAGGCAGAGGCAGGAGGATCAGTACAAGTTTGCGACCAGCCTGGGCTACATATCAAGTTCCAGGCCTGCTAGGGCTGATTGCGTAGGTCTGCACGTGTGAGTTCCTGAGGAGGCCAGAGGTCAGACTCTAGGAGCTGGAGTTACAGCAGGCCACTGTTGTGAGCCAGCAGTGTGGATGCTGGGAATAAATGGGGCCTCTGTAAGGGCAATGTGTGCTCTTAACCACTGAGCAATCGCTCCAACCCCTTTTTGTAGTTGTCCCGACCTGGGATGGCAACCTAGGGCAAGATATCCAGGGAAGGGAATGGGGACAAGAGATGCACGAGAGAATGGCCACAAGACAGGATTCTGATCAAGTGGCAAATTTTATTTTTCCCAGGCTAGCTTATATAGTCAGTAGAGTGGGGTAAAGGGGAGGGGGTAAAGAGGCCAAGAGCCAGGAGTTAGTTCAAGCAGGATGTCAGAAAACTATAGAAGGAGGATGTTGGCAGGGCAAAAAGTTCATGGGTGGTGGGGAGAGGGAGGGTTACCTAGGTGAGTGCTGGGACTCAGGAGGGTTGCTTAGGTAAGTGGGCCTGTGGTTGGAACAAAGGATTGACGTCTGGGCCATGTTCCTTCTGGGTGCTCATGCTTCTAGATGCCATTTATAATCCAAAGACAGTTCTACAACTGTGTGGCTTGCCAAGGTTGGCCTAAAGGTTCATGCCAAGCTGTATGGCTCCCAACACCTTTTGATAACTTTCTATCTATCTATCTATCTATCTATCTATCTATCTATCTATCTATCTTTTCAGTTCTTTCTTTTCTTTCTTTTGAGACAGGGTTTCTCTGTGTAGCCTCTGTGCTGGCACTCGCTCTAGACCAGGCAGGCCTTGAACTCACACTGCCTCTGCCTCCCGAGTGCTGGGATTAGAGGTGGTTGTCCCCACCACCAGGCCCCTTTTGATAACTTTTTAAAAACATAAGGTACTTGATAGTATTTTAACTTCATGATAGCTAGTAGGGATAACCAATCAAGAGTTTTTTTTTTTTTTTTTTTTTCTGTTAGGAAATCAGCTATAAAAGGATGTTTTCTCTTGTATGTGTGGACTTGAAGCTGTCAAGTTTGAGATTTTGGTATTTATATCAATATGTTTAGCATTGTACCTTGGTAAACAAAGTGACCCTCTTCCTTGATCAGGAGATACCTGGGACTCCCAGCTAGGTTAAGTAAATTGACCTAGAGTCACATGTCTTCAGAACTCAAAGTAACCCAGGATTGTCCAGAATCCCAGTGTTACTGCTGGGAAGCATGATTCAGTGGTGCAATTTCATCATCTTTTAAACAATAGTATGTATGAAGTGACCAGAGGAGAAGCAAAGCCTTACAGCATGTGGTTTCATGTTTTTTAAAGCCTAATAGCAGCCATTAGCAGCAGTAAGTGTCTGGGTGTCTTTATAGCAAGACTTTAGTCTGAGGTGTTCTCCTTACATTCCTTTGCTTATTGCTAACTATAGCAATAAGCTATAGAAGCAGGTTCTCCTGTCAGCTCTCATTTTATATGTAAAGCTACCAGGAAAGTAGAGGTGAAGCAGGTGAGCCAAGACCACTTAGCAGGAGTCTGTGTGACTGACGAGGAGGCAGTGGTTGAGCCGAAGTCAGACTTTGCAGTTCACAGTCACAAGTGCTGTTGGGCCCACCATAGTGAGGGTGTATACTCTGAGATCTGGCTTTCCAGTACCAACGTGAGGGTGAACACTGGGCACCCTATGCTTTGTTAGTGTGGTGGTGCCCTAACCCTTGGGTGACTTCTGGGCATTGTTTTTCCACTACCATTTTGTGAGTGTAATGTGACAGGGAATGCAGTGTGTGCTATCAAGGTTGAGGTTAGAGGTCCCAGATAAACAAGTGTGGAGAGGAGCTGTGCTGTTTATCGGGAGGCAGATTGTAATTCAGGGTTTACCAGATAAGGCTAAAAATATTGCAATCAGATCTTCCTAGAAAGGTTATACAAAGGAAATGTATCTTGGAATTAAAAAAATTACATTATATAGGCAGGGTACCTTTAATCCCAGCAAATGGGAGGCAGAGGCAGGCGGATCTCTGTGAGTTTGAGGTCAGCATGGTCTACAAACCAAGTTCCAGGACAGCCAGGGCTACACAGAGAGGCCCTGCCTCTAACAACAACAACAACAACAACAACAACAACAAAATTGCATTTTATTTATTTGTGTGTGTGTGTGGGGGGGCAGTATGCACACCACAGTTGGTTCTCTTCTGCAGATTGAACCAAGGTCAGCAGGGTTGGTGACAAGTTCCCTTACCTTCGGAGCCATCTTGTTGGCTGATACTGGGTATACACCCCTCACCCCGAGCCAGCATCTTTTGTTTTGTTTTGTTTTTTGAAACAGGGGTTCTCTGTGGCTTTGGAGGCTGTCCTGAAACTCACTCTGTAGACCAGGCTGGTCTCGAACTCACAGAGATCCGCCCGCCTCTGCCTCCCCAGTGCTGGGATTAAAGGTGTGCACCACCACTGCCTGGCTCGACGTTGCATTTATTCTTGGTCAAGAATAGGAGAAGTGGCTAAAACCTCACACATCAGCCTCACCACCTTTGGTGGGCCATGAGGGGAGGAATTGGTTAACAAGGGGAAGGAATATCATTGCTTTTCTGGGGATGGGTGGAGATTTTCTGGAACTTTGGGCTCCTCATCCTCCTTTTGTTCATTTTATGGCTATTTGCAGCTGTTGTCATGGCAGTTGCTAGCTGTCATAGCACTGTGTGTCATTTAGCATGTACAATGAAGAGAGAGGTGGTCACTCTGCCAGCCATGTTAGACCCAACAAATATTGCCAGCCTATGTGACAAGGACTTCTGGCCCACAGGCAGCCCATCTTCAAAGATAAATAAAACTAGAGCAAGATATCTCGTGTGTGTGTGTGTGTGTGTGTGTGTGTGTGTGTGTGTGTGTGTGTGTGTGCACTTACGGCAGAATTACACTTCACAGTGGTGGGTGCACTGCGCTTTCCGCTCCCTGCATCGGGGATGTCGCCCTGGCTCAGCATTTGCACAGTTGAACTCCAGGGATCTCCGCAGATGTGTTTGTTGTTCTTTACATCGTCATTTCCTCACTAGGGAGCATTTCAGTCATTTCAGCGTCGTAGGTTATAAACATGAATGGATGGGATGGAGCCCAATGGCAGAGCACATGCCTAGCATGTACCAGGCCCTGGGTTAAAACTCACTGCCTCTAAAAACCAAACCAAACCAAACCAAAAAACCCAAAAGCGAACAAAACAAACCAAAAAAACAGAACTCAAACAAAAAACAGGGCTGCAGTGAGCCACCCCGGGGAGCAGCTTTGTGACCCGGACTGGGCTGACTTCTGAAGGACTGTCTCCTAGACAGTTGGTTTTAGTCAGGGTTGTTGAGCTCTGGACTGGAGTCAATGATCCTACCCTTCCCCTACGGCATCTTCTGCTATAGCACAGAGATCTGACCCTGTGTCCAGGCAAAGGTGTTCCTTGAGGATGGTGACTCACCCATCCTTTACCTCTTCAGATAAGGTGAGGGTGACTGTGATGACTATTCTTGGTTGTCAACTTGACTACATCTGGGATTAACTAAAGCCCAAGAGGCTGAGCTCACCTGTGAAAGAATTTTTTTTTTTTTTAAATTAAATCATTTGAGGTGAGGAGATACATTTTTAATCTGGATTTTTAGAAGTGGGAAGGTCCCTCTTTAATCTAGATTATATCTGTTGGCAAGCTATATAAATGATAAGTGAAGCGCTCTCTCTCTCTCTCTCTCTCTCTCTCTCCCTCTCTCTTTCTCTCTCTCCTTGCTCTCACTGACAAGCCCATTCCTTCACCAACATTAGAGCCTACTTCTTAGGATTCTGTCTTAGCTTGAAGACTAGCTCAGGCATGCAGCCTGGAGGATTGAACAACTTAGATTTTTGAATTTTCCATTGGTAGACAGCCATTGATGGACTA